CATAGCTAAAGTCATGCCTTATCAGGAATAGATCTATCAAATAACGATCCCCACTCCACGGTGCTAACAGTGGGGTGTGAGGCAGAATCACACAGGCCGTGATAACGGGCCATGGAACGGTTCTCGCTAGCCAATAAATCTACTCAAGACACAAAATGCCTTAACCGCACGCTATGCACGATCAGGATTGACATAAAACAGCCGATAAAATATAACTCATCATTTAAGGTGTAGATTAGATCAATTTAGATTAGCAAACGATGGGCTAAACAAGATATAAGGCCGATCTAGATCAATCCTAATCGGACAGAGTGATATTGCTGTAATTGGATAAATAATAAAAGCAATAAGCAATATCGGTAACTTAATGAATCTACCAAAGACTGTCATCCTAAGGTAGAGCCGATAACTTGACCTTGATCTAGTTCATGTAGTGGGGGTCGACCGGATCGATGCAGCCATACTTGAACTAGGCAAGAGTCGATAACTAACTTATACCAGAGTCACAGTGGAGGTCGACCGGATCGATGCAGCCGTACGAACAGAGGTATAAGTCATGACGGTACTTACAACAAGCAGTGGATGTCGACTGGATCGATGTAGCCGTACTTGCTGAAGAACTCGCCGAGGTCTACTCTACTCCTACTCCTAAGGGTGGCCGAAGCTAAAAAAGTAAATGACTTGTATATTGGATTGGTTGTTGTCCTCTTTACAATAGCCGGGGCTTGATATTTATTTCTGGGACCTACGCATGACTCCTGTCTAAGCACGACTCATCACAATTTTTGACCCTAAAGAAAACATTCCTAATTTATGATAACTTAGACTCTAATCTTTCCCTTTTTGTAGAGTCCAACATGTTTTGTCCTGGCGCCAAACGTAGCCTTTGTCGTTATCCGCTGGCGCTATCTGAAGAAAGCCGATTCTAGTTTTTGCATCCAAATCAGCTGGTTCCGATCTACACGCAATTGATTCCTTGATGACATGATCTTGGGAGCTTTCGAGTCCCTACGACTCTTCTTCCAAATTCTAGTGTAAACACAGTTGTCAGGCCGGCGGTGGCGGCCTCGTCTGCCTCTCGAGCCCTCCAAGCGGTCGTCACGCCAGTGCTCGTGGTTGTCTTGGCGGCGTTCACGATCATCATGGCGGCGATCGCGATCATCGCTGTGACGGTCGCGATCATCGTAGCACCTCTCCTCACAGTGATCGTCATCGTGGCATGAGTAGCGATCAGGACGGGTAGCCCATTTGGCTTCCTCAGCATCGGTGTAGCCGTTTGCAATTTGTATCAGTTCGTCGATGGTCGTGGGCCTCTTGCGGTACAGCTTTCCACGGAGCTATTCGTGTTGTAGCCCTTTGGTGAATGTAGCGATGGCCTCGGTGTCGCTGATGTTGGGCACGGAGTTCCTCATCTCCGAGAAGCGCCTAATGAAGTCATGTAGGGACTCCCAGGAGGTTTGGTGAAGCTTCTCCAGGTCATACTTGGTGCTGGGCTGCTCGCATGTAGCCATGTAGTTCTCGGTGAAGACCTTTTTGAGGTCGTCCCAAGATCGGATGGGGTTCTCCCGTAGGCTGAGAACCTAGTTATTCGCAGATTGATTGAGCATGACAGGCAAGTAGTTTGCCATGAAGTCTTCACTTTCGCCCATAGCTCTCACAGCGATCTCATAGAGAGTTAGCCACTGAGCGGGGTTTGCCTTACCGTCATAGGTGTTCACCCCGATGATCTTGAAGCCCGTAGGCCATCGGATGGCTCGAAGCCTTGCTACGAAGGGTTGGAGTTCGGAGCCATAGACGGGGGGGCACCGGGTGGTGCTCAGGGTGCAGCAGGTGCTCCGTGCTCTTCATTGAACTACCACCGGTGTTCCATCTCTGTCTCATACCGCGTGGACCTGCTATTCTCGATGTGACCTTGTACATCAAGATTGGCGTTGATGAGCTCACGATTGTCACGCGGGGGTTGATTGACCTCCTGATTGGCATTGCGGTTGCCGCCCCGGCCTCCCTAGGGGCGCGGAGGGCGACTGTCTTGGCGTGAATGTCCTTCGTAGTTGCCCCTAGATCCTTTATAGAGATAGGGGCCACCACCTTGATGATGGGGGTGCTCGGTGCCTTGATGTTGACTTCTTCCATCACGACGGGAGTGGCGGCTATGAGCCAACGCAGATGAATAAGATGGATCGGGGTTCCGAAACTCGTTGACCTGAACTTGAGCTACTATGATATGCGCTCGGACCTTCTCGACCTCTGGAGTTTGAGGAAGTTTCTTGAGCTCGTTGAAAGCAACGGTGAGATTGGCGCTTCGGGTCTGGTGGACCGGTTGGTCACCCACCATGTCGAACTCCTCCTCCAGATTATGCCCTCGGCGCGGTGGGCCATGTCCATCCATGTCACCCCCATGGGCCGCCTCTACATCTCGGCGATGTTGGCGATCGGCGTTTTTCACCAGGCGAGCGTTGCGCTCGTCAAAGGTTTTGTCGTCCCTGGTGGCGCTGTCATGGCTAACGTGGAAAATCATGCCCCCAAACCCTAGAGAGAAAGTAAGGCAACTTGATGCAGTCTTGGTTGAGCCCTCGGAGTAATCACCGGGGCTCTCCTCCAGGCGTCGTGGAGGGAGTCATTCGGAAGCTGGCGAATAGCCACCATATTCACCATGGGCGCGGGCTGACCTACCTCAGGTAGATCAATCCTATAGAGGTCATTGACGTGGTCGTGCTCGGCGTGGTCGAGAAGAGATGGTGGATGGTGTTCTGGTACGTGGATCCCACACTCTCCAGCCCGAAGGGATAGGGCTTCGGTGGGTTCTCCTTCGGGGCCTCGTAATCGGCCAAGCGTAGGCCTATAGCAGGAAGTGGTCGGCGCCACACCGTGCGCCCCTCTGGGTGGCCGTGATCGCCAGATCAGAATCTAGCCGCCTCGAACAATGTGGCCACGCAGGTCGCTCGGTTGCAATGGCTTGGTGATCTTGGAGTGCAGGAAATTCATCGCTCGGTCTAGATTGATCTAAGACCGAATCCACGAGGAGTTGGCATTCCGCTAAGTGGTCGGTGACCCGATCGATGGATGCGATCAGATCATCATTGCTGATGGATCTCCTAACCCAGCGGCGGGGCGTCGAGATTGGAGATGTCGTTGTAGGTGTTGGTGCGGTCGACGCAGTCGGCGCAGGGTGATCCTGCATCGCCTCTATGACCTCCCCGCTGCCGTCGAGGCCGATGACCCAGGTCATGGATCCGACCGTAAAGATCTGGCGTGGCACGGGAAAGACCATGGAGCTTGAAAAGCGGACCATCTGGCTCGCCATGGATTTAGCACACACACCCTCTACCTGGCGCACCACTGTCGACGAAATACGTCCGGCAGTCTACGGAGGGGTGTTCCTAAGATAGTAGATGAGTCGGTGGAGGTGCGCGTGAGGGAACCGGATGGTGACACAAAACGCACGAGACAACGATTAGGTAGGTTTAGACCGTCATCTTGACTTAATACCCGACATCCTGTGTCATTGTGGATTGTATTATGAGAGATGAGATAAAAATGAGGAGGGTCCCTACCCGTCTTATATAGTCGAGGTAGAGTTACAAGTCGGTTGTTTATATCCCGGTCGATTTATAAAATAGGAATTACAGAGATTGCGGAATCTAGTATATCCAAAAAGATTGTTCTTGATCGCCAAGGATCTTCTCACAGTCTTATGAGGCACGCCAACCTGTGTCATGCTCCGCACGGCGTAGTCCTATGGGCTGGGCCTCCCATGGCGGCTCGGCCCATATACAGTCCGTGGGTATCGGGGTTATACCCCCCACACTCCCACCAAACAATGAAAAATTTGTTCATGCTTTTATAAATATTACAATACAAAGCACATTTTGCCTATTTTAACCTATATTTTATCAAAATATTATTTTTTATGAAAACTAAGTACATACGTAGAAGCATAAAAAAGTTATTGAGACGTATACTCATGTATATAATTTTCACACGTACGCGGCCCCTTAAGCAAAGTTGCTGGTTCGGCCGCTGTGCCGCGGCCGCTGCTGGCAGCACGCACTGGCTGTCGTGGTCGCTGCTGACGCTGCTTGGTCGGCTGCTGGCTGTCTTCGATGGTTACAAGAGGGTGAATTTTTTTTATCAATAAAGACATAGTGAATACTGTTCTTAGTACATTTATGCAGGATCCAACCTTTACGGAGGTTATAAACGTTAACCACGCCGAGGACTTGGATAATCATATTGCTACGAAACATGTTTCAGGAGTGTCTGCACTGTCATCATGGTAGCAAGCTTTATAGTTACCAAAGCGTTGGTAAAATTAGAATCTAAATTTATTTAGTTTTTTGGAGTTGCTTTTAGAGTTGAATGTTATTCTTTTAATTTATACTCCTATTATTCTAAAATAAGTGTCACTATAATATTCGCGCGGGTCAAATTTTCTTAAATTTAACTAAAATTAAAGAAAATGTTAACAATATTTATATTTCTAAATAAATTTATTATAAAAATATATTCAACATTCATCTAGTAATACTAATTATATATTTCTTCTGTTCTAAATTATAAGATATTTTAGTTTAAAAAAGTCAAAACATCATATAATTTTAAATAGATCAAGTACTATAGATATTAACATTTTTTATATATTTAGTTAGAATTAAAAGTGTTTGATTTCTCGGGAAGTGAGAACGACACTTCTTGTAGTCCGGGGAGAGACGTTGTAGGAACATCTCGAAAGTAACAGACCACGTCCCTTTTAAAAGATGCCCATGTTATCTGTCACCCACTTTATTCTAATGTTACAGTTAGTACTAATTAATACTGTAATCAGCTCACTAAAAAAGCAGAAAACAAAAGAGAGATCGATTAAATAAAACCACTCGGACAGGTCAATCAGTGCTAGTGCATCGATCAGTGCTCCCTGCGGACAAGAAAAGCGGACTGCTTCGTTCAAGGTTCAACTCCGAGAAAGAAAGCTTCGAGACAGAGCGGGGGCCGAGGAGACGATGGTCGGGATCTTCTCCAGGTTCTCCGCCGGCGCCCACCGCCGCTCCAAGAGCGTGGCCGTGAGTTCTCTCCTCTCCCTCTTTCTCCTTTCCCTATCATGCCCCACTTTGTACTTCCATGTTGTTTCTGCTGTAGTTTACTTCCCCAACTCCAAGAAGGGATCTGCTTGTTTATAACCATATCAGGTCAACAGTAGGTTAGCTTAGCTTCTTGAAGCCGTGCAAGAGTCAGATTTGGGCTGGTTTCATTTGACCCCCTATTTGTTCATGGGTGGATTCTGCTGTCTCCAGGACTCGGTATCTCACCTTTTTAGTTCCTCTTCCGATTCTTTGATCGGGATGGTTTTAGCTTGCCGTTTTTGTTAGATTTTATTTATGTTACCTTTATTTCATTGAATTTGAATGGCCTTGCAGCTCAAAAATTGGGGAAAGTTGAGTGCTTTTGTTCTCACTATAAATCTGTTCATGAGAAATTTTACAATTACTATGTAGCCAGGCGGAGTGGAATTATTGATTGGCTAAAGCCAAGCATCAGAAGTAACCCTAGTGAATTTGTGCAATTGGACCTTTCTGCTCGTCTAATTTATGGGAATTCTGCTTTCATCCTGCAGGAGGTTGTCGAGACGTTGGCCCCCAACATGAGTACAGGAGAGTCTGATCCAGCAGCTGTTCCTGCAGAGAGCCCTCACGGTATTGAGGTTGGCGTTGAGTTCAAGCCGGTGGAGCACCCTGTGGAACCTCTCAATCTTGATGAGCCAGTAAAATGCCCACTTCCTGAGCCATCTATACTGCATGTAAGCCATCCTCTTGGTGCTTATTGAAAAATCGCTCTAGAAAATCACGTTGTTGATAAGGTGAGAGTAATTTTCTTGTCTTGCAGCATTCAGCGATGAACGTTATTAGGAAACTTTCTTGTGTTGCGGAATGTAATGTTAGACCATTTTAGGAAACTTTCTTGCGTTACAGATTAGTTACAATAACAATTCGCTCCTCGTTTTTCCTCAATACTTGAAGTATCATTTCCCTTGTAGCAAAACTGCATAAGCATCATGCGGTGCAAACTTCTTGTTGCCTAATTGGTCTAACTTGATCGATGGATGCTAGGATAGGACTATAGGAGGATATGAAGGAGAAGATGTTGCAGACTGAAGTGTTAATCATATTAGTGAACTGCCTTGAGTTGCAGAATTTAGTGTTGTGCTAACAACAAACTACTCGATCTCATCTTACCTTTCTGATTAACAGTCTGGTCTTGTATGCTTCAAGTTCAATATTTCCTTAATAGCAAAACATCGGATCTTTCAGTCTTTACCTGTTCCCTTATTGGTTTTATTGACCGATGGTCTGATGGATGCTAGGATGGGAGGATATGGAAGGAGAAAATGTCTTCAGTCGGCACGAGGGTGAGAACAGATTTGCCGGTCGTGAAGGAAGGGTCGCAGCTTGAGTCTGACAGTAGCAGTGCTAGGTCACGATCTGCAGTTCCAAGGCGTGCCATATTGCCCTCCGTAAGTGCGCCTGAGCACAACATCCTAGCGCTACTTGACGAGTGCGATGTCTCTGGGAGCCGTGGCTCTGCTGAATGAGCTTGAGTTGGGCGTCGCCAGCAAATTGTAGCTAAACCGTGTTTTGGCATCTTCCTCTGCCTGTATCTCTTCCACTTGTACAAGCGCCACGAGCTGATCTGAATACAGCAACCTTATGTCTGAAAAAGTTTAGAACTACGCAACAGATCTTTTGTCTGGATTGTATATATCTATAAATACGAGTGAAAGCATTTTGGGGAAGATGTCTCGCACTTGTCGAAGGCAGTAATGGTTACTGAAATGCTTGGTTTTGTGTTGTAACTTTGCACTGTTGAGTGCCAGCATGCAGCTCAATGTGACGCCCAGTTGTCAAGTGCAGATTGTACTGGAAAATTTGTTACGGGTGGGCAGTGTTTGCTATGGAGTATCCCAATTCGCTTGCCCGTGGATTTGCCTCTGCCGCCGCAGTCGCGGCGCCGTCCAGCAGGATGGCAGCTGGTATCAGCTTGACTGCTTCGGCACAAAAATCCGCCAGGCCTCACTGGGCTCGTGGCCATGACATGCCTGGCGCCCTGGCGTCTGGAGGAGACGGTGGCGATAGGGTAGGGTCAGTAAGTCGGTTCGATGACCTCAACCTGGCCACCTGGGAGCCGGTTGGAGAACAAGGGGGCTAGCCATGTTTAGCCGTTTGGTTGTGACAGATGACAATGCTGCGTCGATGGTGAGAGAATGTCAGGTATACGGTATACCTATCGACGGCGCAAGACACTGTCGCGCACCGCCGCCGAACATGGGTGGACGAAACTGCTCAATTCATTCACAACCAGAGCCGTACGATTACAGATAAAAGTGCAAAACAATGCCAAAACCATTACAGCTACTGCCGATTATTTCTCAGTAAATCAGACCATTTTATTACAAGCATTAGTAAGAAGATAGAAGACTGACCAAAAAGTATCATGCATCAAAACGGCCAGCTTTTTGGGTGTGACCTGAAACAACCCCGATTTACACGAAGGGAAATCCACAGAGTCAAAGTGTAATAAGACCGTTGTAGATCATATTACCCAAATTCCAGTCGAATATCACATTCATACAACGATAATATCAGAGTACAAATAGTGCGGAATTACATAATTTATTACATCGCCGCATTGGCGGAATCAAAAGTAGCATTCATTCAGAACAGCTTGAAGATAAGATCACCAAACTCGAGCGTAGGAACAAACCCCTCAACCGTCAAACTCCTCGGAGCTATACTCCTCAGCAGAACCTATGTGCCAAAATTTATCAGTACGATTTGTACTGGCCACTCCCAACCCTATGAGCATTGCTTTGTGGAAATTGGATGCAAATTGGTTATAATCAAGAGGAACCTAAAAGGCTGGGGTTTCCTATGCATTAACATACCAAGTATATAATAATAGTTGGTCAAGTTTTAACACCACTCACACACATTCCACCCCATTCCCATTCCAGAGCCAGGTTTTGATCCTGGGATCGATAAACCACCATATCCACACCATCACCATACCACACCCGTACCATCGCTCAGTCGACAGGCCAACTCCCTCTCGGCACTGTCTCAAGGCCCATAGCCCCTGACTACGTCCGAACACTCACTCCCAGGGGAGAATAGAAAGACTCATCTAACTATCTAGTTTAAGCGAAACCCAGGAAAGGTCCATAGCCGACAAGTCGACATATGTATCGATCGATCAACCATACACTCTGCAGAGGTTTTACATAACCACAAGATCCGCCTTCCTCGCTGACCGTCGTCAACTAGGCTGATTCCGGCCGCTTGCTAGCCTAGGATAATGCCACTCTACCATTCAGCTCTGGTACACCCCAAATCCAGTTTGGGGTGGCTGAAACTGTGAGTCATGAGCCGGGTCCACAAGGTCTCCATGAAGTCTCGAAAGGGTGTGGGGGAAATCCTCCGCACCCCGTACCTCCTTACACTGTCCGCTAACAACCTAGCAGTAGTGGCAATATCCTACCAAGTAGTCCGACCGTCCCACACCATATAGGGCGAGTGGTACGTAAGGCTTCCCGGTGAATCTGAGTACTAGTAAGTCCTTAGGGATGACCAAGCCAGAATGTCTTCATCAGGGTTTCCATTTACCGTACCACCACAGCACCTCCACCCTGGGCTCCTCCCATCACAGGATCACACCCAAGGCCACCTCATATACCATTTACCCACCACAGGTATCCATTCCAGGGGTGCCCAGGTAGCACCCCACGGCAAGACTTGCCCCAGGCTCGTCGTATACTCCAACTTGGTCGACACAACCCTCACCCTCCACGCACCCAAGTCACACGCGCAGCACTCTCCCCATGGTCCAGATAACACCAGTTTCCACCACGCCTCCATATAGTGCAAGCGTAGTAGAAGTAGTAAGCAATGAAATATATTAGCAAGCGTGTGACTAGCCTAACAGCAGGGTGAGTAGGGGTAAGGTTGCGTCAAGGTAAAGGCCATCAAGAAAGCATACTACCATGCAAGTCCTACCATAATGTGATCATGACAATAAAGTAAGCGCTAGCATTTCTATATTAGCCATGCGTAATAGGTGCTACAAGATTGGGTGGGATGTGGCACCTTCAGTGTAGTCGTCTCTGTACTCCTCACGGTACTCACGATCCTCATCCGTCCGGTTTTCCTCCGAGTCTGCAAACGACCGCATTATAGTCGCGTTAGCGACGTCTATGAAATAGCACAAAGAAACAATGGAAATTCAAAAGAGCCAAATGCACTCAAACATGGGTTCATTGAGTAGAGCTCGATTTTAGATGAATTTTGGTTCTGGTTTCGTATTTTTCCGAGGTCGTATGAATTAGTTATGAATTTCCGAAGATTAATTCCATTTCTGAAAATGGAAAAAGGCTGAGTTAATCATGGGCTGACGCGTGTCACGCTGTGGTTGGTCCACGTGGCTTGCTGACGTCAACATGATGTCAGCATCACGGTTCCGAGCTGACAGGTGGGGTCTAGCTGACGTCAGCATGACGTCATCAATGTCATGCTCACCGACAGGTGGGACCAGAGGCTATTGAGTCTCTGACAGGTGGGTCCGGTCAAAGTCAACGGCGAGTCAACAGTCAATGTCTTCGGTCAACGGTCAGGGTCACTGACGTGTGGGTCCCGCGTGACGTCATCACAACGCCAGCATGACGTCATCGTCTGACGTGTGGGTCCAGCAACACTGTGTCGCTGACATGTGTGGCCAGGTCAACGGTCAACGTTGACCGGTCGACGGTCAATACGGGCTGGGTCTCAAACGGGTCGGTTGGGCTTCGGATTGGGCCGGTCTGGGCCGGGCCGACCCGGACACGTGGCGTGCTGTGGCTCTGCCACGTCGTAGTCGTGGGCTCTTACTGGGCTGTGGTCCACAGGCGTGGTCCACGGTGGACGCAAGTTCACGGTCCATGGACCTAAGGCAGGGTCCATGGTGGACCAAGTCCATCCCTCTCCTCTCTCTCTGTGGTCCACGTGCACCAGGTGCATGGGCATGTGGCCGGCGAGGGGAGGTGTCTCCCCTGTTTCTTACCGCGGCGGTGCTCCTACCGGCGACGAGCTCACGGCGAGCCCCTGCGGTTGCGCTGGTGTCCGATTGAGGAGGGGAAAAGCTTCCCTGGGCCACGGCGACTGTGTCAGTGGGGTCAAAGTGGCGGCCAGAGCCTCCCCAAGGTGCTGGCCACGGCGAGCGGCGGCTCGGGCTCCACCGGCGTGTGGGAATGGCGCGGGGCTGCGGCATAGGCCGGCTCTGTGGTCCGCGTGGGCGACACAATGCCCCAACGGGCATGTTAGGCAGGTCGAGGGGTCCTCCAGGGCCTCCGATGGCTTTGGCCACGACGGCGCCCTTCCGAGCTCGACGGCGGTATCGGTGAGGTGTCTACGGTCATGGTAAAACATCTCGGCGGGGCGTGCACGCTTCTACGGATTCATGGGAGCGCGGCGAGGTCATCCAGACTCAAGGCGAGGCTCGGTTCTCCTGTGGCCGGTGGGGACATCCCGGCGGCCACGGCGATGGTGAAGACGACGGCGAGGCACGCAGGTGAACCACGGGACTCCAGCGGGGTGGTCACGGCGTGCACGTGAGTTACCCGCGGCTTCAGCGAACGGGATGGTCGAGTCAAGGAGGCACCAGGCGCTCCCAGCAGTACTGGCCACGGTGGTCGGTGCTCTAACCGGTGGTCGGGTGCTCGAACCGGTGGTCTGGTGCTCGGACCAGTGGTCACGTGCTCGGCCAGGTGGTCTGGTGCTCGGCACGGTGGTCGCGTGCTCGGACAGGTGGTCTGGTGCGCCATGGTGGCGGCGTCGACGGCGATGCACACACTGGTGCGCTATGGGCTCCGGTGGGGTGTCACGGTGATCTCGGTGTGCACGTGGGTGCATGTGTTCCAAGTGGCTGAGGCAAGGCACTAGCCTACGCGCTTCCAGGTGTGGAGCGCCATGGCCGACGGTGAGGTTCGACGGCAGAGAGGGATCGGAAGGCTCACCGTAGGTGTTGTGGGAGATAGGATGGCGGTGCAGTGTCAATTCGAGGCCGTGTAGCTCCGGAAGCCGTGCAGTGCCATGCCGACCCGCGTCGGTGATGTAGCCGACGGCGTCGCTCCCGGCTCCGGCGATCTCCTCCCCTACGGCGGCTTCGGCGTTCTTCCCCCCTTCTTCCTCTTCTCCCTCTTCTCTCTAGGTTTGGGTGCGTAGTGGATGGCCACCGAGGTGGCGGCGGGCAACGGGACGAGCGCTAGGGCTCTAAAGACCGTGGCCTTTATAGCCGAGCTCGGCCATGGAGCTCGGTGATCGGCGGACAGGGATCAAGGGCAATCACGGCGCTTGCTTGCATCCTACGGTCACGATGGGTTGCGTGGGCGCGGCGCCAAGGGGGAGACAGGTCCATGCCCTGGGCATGAACCCTGGCCCACCCTGCCATTGCTATCGGGGCTCTGTCGCGCGGAGGGATTCGGCGTGGGCGTGGAGAAGAAGCACAGTAGCGCTGACAGGCAGGGTCCGTTGGCAGCGACTGCTGGCGGGGCTGACGGGTGCGCGGGCGTGAGCGGCCTACTGGGCCGGCTTGCTAGGCCGCGTGCGCACGCGCTGAGGCTGGCTGGCCGGCGCGGGCCAAGCAGGTCGAGCGCGCGAGGCCTTCTTCTTCCTTTTTCTTTTTCTATTTTACATTCCTTTTTCCATTGTTTGAATTTCAAATTTGGTTTAGAATTTGAATTCAAAACTGAGGTAAATTATTCATTGGAGTTTAGAGAATTTTGTTTAATAATAACTTTATGATTTATTGTTTTAATGGAATTATTAGGCATAACATAAAGCAAATGGAAATCCAATTCACAACTTGAATTAACAATGTATGCAACATGTTATTTGTTGGAAATTTAATAATCATAATCAACAAATGATATGCCATGCTTATTCATGGTGGCAGTTCTGTTGACTAGAACTTGTAGTAACTCTGCAGCAAGCACAAAAAGCAACGGTGATAAGGGATCGCCTTGACGCACACCTCGTTTGCACTTAAAATTTTTCCCCGGATTCCATTTAGTAGGACTATAGAAGTGCCTGATCCCAAAATGCTACTGACCCAGTTCAGCCATCTAGTAGGAAAACCCAGATGCTCCATGACCTGAAGGATGACTGAGTGCTCAACAGAGT